GCAGGCTTGAGTGCTGAGACCTGTGAAGCAGGTTTCGCCTGAGCAGATCTGAGATTTAAAATCTCTCAAAAGCGATTTAGCCGTTTAAGCTACAATAACAATTATACAGAGTCGAATAAATGAAACAGAGAAGTCTAATTAAACAAGAATATAACTTACAGTGGTTGCTATATATAATGTACTTGTTAATTTACTAATGTAACATTACTGGGGGCTAAAGGAACAGCTTCATCTTATTTACCTGGCCATGGTCCTCTTTATTTCATCGCCGTAGACTATGGTCTACCACCGTTACAGCGGAACATCAGTGATTATGTGTCACAATGGCGTTAGCAACCAGAAAATGACACCAGTAATGACAAACAGATGAGAATGCTGCGTGGGCTCTGGGTGCCGTGTTGGCGGGACGTTGCGCGGCTCGCTGCTGCGAGGAGCGGACAGTGTGAGTTGGGTTCATTTCCTGGAGACAATCAATTGAACAAGTGTACATAATATGTACACTTGTTCAATTGATTGTCTCCGTTGACCTCTTTGACACATATACGGACGCTTTTCCCCGTTAACCACCTGCTCTTCTCTTCCTGCTAAGCAGCTGTGTTGGAATTGGGCCGGTACTCACCGGTACGCAGTACCGGCACTTCTGGTTCTGACCCATGGAGTACCGGCACTTCTTGCTCAGTACCGGCATGCTGGCGGTACTCCGGTACTCATGCACCGTGCCAGTACTCAACACTCTCCCGCCGTTCTTATTATACATCCATATATATATATACAGCCGCCCGGTACTCAGTAGATGCGTCATGAGGTGCCGAACGGACATTCTCATCGCTCTAACCGCTGGAGTTTCACAGCGGCTGTCAGCTGTTTACTCCTGTCATTCAAACAGAACGTGCTGGAGAGGGGGCGGGGCTTATCTTCTCCATGTAAATACTGTGGTGGAAACGACTATGTCAAAATTAACCTATTTGACCGTGATTTAATAGTAATACACGTTTCAAAATAATAATAATAATAATAATAATAATAATAATAATGCCGAAGTAACAACATACTGAAAACTGTTAGTAAAACCATGTTTTAATGCTTTACAATTTACATACCTAGATGCACGTGTGTTGTGTTTATGCAGTGCAACTCCCACCCAGTGGGTGGCTATGTAGAGTGATAGAACAGAGCAGGCACGCCCCCGAGAGAAGGAAAGCAAGTCACGTCACAAATTAGCATTTCTAAAATGTTAGCGTGGATTAATAAAAGTGCAAAAAGACAGCGGTTGTCGCCGGAAGAAACTTCAAATACAGAGAATGCTGTGCCTGTGTTGGAAATTATGTCTGATGGGGAGCTTTCTTTGGTTGATCCTCCTGCTCCAAGTTCTAGTGCATTAGCATTAGCACTAGCTCCGCCGCCTCCTCCAGAGCCTCTAACGTTAGCTGCTGCTGGCGCAACTGCCACCACCAACACCGGGCAAAGCGATGCACCTGACTGCTGGACAACGGACCAGGTGCAATATTTTTGCAAGACCAATGCATGGCTCCTTCTTAAAGATAAGAAGCTAGGATGTCGGATATGCAGAGATGTCAAATCTTTGGGAATACACACTGGACAAGGACTGAAACTGTCAACTGAATGGGGTGTGCAGTGTCTCATTTCGGTGTTGACAAGGGCAAACAACAAGCTAGCCTGAGAAAAAAAAATCAAAGAACATAAAGAATCACAAGCACATGTAAAAGCTGCTGACATCCTTACATCTGCTTCACGTGAAACTATTCAACATCAAGTGCAGTCTATGCATAAATCTGAATTAGACACCACTATCAGAGTTTTTCGAACGGCATATAAAATTGGCAAACATATCCGGCCATTCACAGACATGCCAATTGATTTGAATGTACAGAAACTGAATGGGCTGAACGTGGGCAGGGTTTTGCACTCCAATAAAACCTGTGGCGAAATCATCGACCACATAGCTCATGAGCTGAAGAAAAAAATGGCAAAAGACATTACAGAAAACCAAAGAAAACTCTGTGTTTTGGTCGATGAATCTACCACTATTAGTGGTAAAACGGTGCTTGTTGTGTGTCTACGCTCAGCATTAGCTGATGCTGAGCCCGAAACGTTTTTTTGGGAGCTGATCGAGTTGGATGGAACAACGGCTGATGACATCACAAAGGCGTTAATGGAGTGTCTTGGAAGAGATTTTAACGAGGACTTTTTAGGTCAGTGTTTCGTTTCTTCTTGCATGTGATGGGGCTTCAGTCATGCTAGGGAAGAGAACAGGCGTTGCTACCCAGTTGTGTAGTAAATTCCCAAGCCTGTTTGTGTGGCACTGCTCCAATCATCGTCTAGAGCTGGCAGTTGGGGATGTGGTCAAGGAGGTCTCAGGGCTCAATCATTTCCAGATCTTTTTTGACAAACTCTATTCCTTGTTCCATGCCTCCCCCAAAAATCAGAGGCAGTTAGCGCAGTGTGCGCAAGCAGTCGGACAGCGTCTCCTGGTGATAGGGCGTGTTTTGTCCATCCGCTGGGTGGCTTCAAGTGAAAGGAGCGTCGGAGCAGTCTGGGAAAACTACCGAGTGCTTCATGATCACTTCACAAATGCTGCAAACGACACGAGCAGGGATTCCAGAGACAGAGCAAAGTACAAGGGCCTGGATGATGTGCTCACATCTGCAACGTTTGTCAGCAATCTGGGACTGATGTACGATGCGCTCACAGAGCTCAGCGACCTCTCTCGGCAACTCCAAAAAAGAGAGATGACACTGCCTACAGCAGATAGGCTCTTAACTCGAGAAATACGAGTTTTTTGAATCCATGGTCACCATGCCTGGCCCACACATGACTACAGTTCATACAGCTCTAGCTGAGAAGTCCTTCAAGGGTGTTGCCCTGCGTGAGAATGGCAGGCTTGTACAGATTCATGCAGGTCAGTTTTTCCGCAGTATGGTAGAGAATCTGAGACACAGAATGACTTCCACAACCTCCTCTCATGTCAGCACAAGAGAAATCCCATTACATGGCCGGGAGGCCCGGGACAATCAGCTAATCCAGGACATGAAAGTTATCCATCCTGGAAGTTGGCCTGAAGAGGAGTTAGACGTACAGTATGGGGACGTAGAGGTGCTACGTTTGTGCGAAGTGCTGAAAGTGGACAGAAGAGAGACTGTTCAGGGCTTTCGCGAATACAAGGAAACCAGGGCATCCCGTACACCTGCTGCCATGGAGCCTCTACTGAAAGCAGTCCGAACCATCGCTGTCTCCACTAGTGAGTGTGAGCGGGCATTTAGCTGCATGCAACGATATCCTTACTGCAAAAAGGAATGCTCTCTCTGTCAGCCGACTGTCCAGCCTGGTTTTCATTAAATGTAATGGACTATCACTAGGACAGTTCAATCCGGAACAGTATGTGAGGTCCTGGCTATCAAAGGGAAGGAGAAGTGCTGATGAAAGAGCCTGTCCAGCTCCAGCCCCTGATGCTGATGTCCCCAAGGCCTTCTGGAGCCTTTTCTAACAATGTGAAGTATATTGCAAAGCAGCTCACCCAGTGAGAAGACTTTTGGCATAATGTGCCGATTTGTACAGATCCTGGAGATAGAAGGACTTCAGACCAACCAGGGAGTTATCTGATCAGCTTGGTGTTCAATGTAACTCTTTACCATGGCTCAGACTTTGTTACTTGCAGTTACAGTTTCTTATTTTAGATTGTGCAAATGTTGCATTTGTTTTTACATGTTCTTTGTTCATGCTCTTTATCATTTTTCTGAGTTGGAAAGTTAGATTGCATCATAGTTTACTTTATACATATTTGTATTCTTCAGTGGTGAAGTATATTGCAAAGCAGCTCAGCCATGTGAGAAGATTTTTGGCACTTTTTCGTTTTTCGTTTTCTGAGTTGGAAAGTTAGATTGCATTCAAAATGTACAGAAATACTTAATTTTGTTAAAGCTTTTTATAAAAAATGCTTCTGACCAGAGCTTTGTTTCCTTGTCATTAATGTTGAACACCACCAGAGGGGCTCTCACCTGAAAGGTCTCTGCTTCATGTGTCTTCAGCAGAAGATCTAGACTTTGATTGCTATATTTTCAGTTAATATTGACCTTACTGAGCTTTAGCCATATCCGCTGCCTATCATAAAAAATGTTAAGTACAGTGAACCTTTCTAAAATATACAGTAGTAAAGAGACAAACCCACCAGCATTATAGTAGCCAAATTCTTGTTTGTGGGCTGTATATATAAAATTGACTTGAAAAAGTTGCTGATTTTAGAGTACTGGCACCTTTTTCATTCCAATTCAAGCACTGGTACATATACAGTGTTAAAGGGACTGTTCGCCTATATCTGCCGTAGAAATGCCTCTATAATTGATGTATTGGATATAATGGAAATAGATAGCACTTGGCTTTTGGTGTTCGACTTCGAATCATGATTAGTTTTGGCATGAACTGTCTCTTTAAAAGTTGTAATGTTGACTACATCATGAGAGCTATATCTAAATCTATAGCTCTTTCTGTACACGTGCAAAAGCTCCAGTTTGAAAGTTGAATGCATGCCTTTTGTGCTTTGTTTTTTTATAATCTCTTGTTGGTTTGCATTCCGGACAAGCTTTCAGTGTTCACTGAATACATGAGCACTAAATAACTACTTTACTCTAGTATAACTAATGTGTGCTTTTCTTCTATATATTAATATATTAGCTTATTGTGTAGTATAACATGCCATCTTTTTACCTGCTCTGCCACTTTTGCTTATATGCCACATGTGCTGTAACAATGTACATTTCCCCACTGTGGGACTAATAAAGGATTTCTGATTCCAATTCATATTTTTGTTTCTTGATTACAGAAAAGATAACACAGATGACTGATTTACCATACATACTACATGACTTCGACCAGCAACGTTTTATTCTAAGACTAGGACATATATATGTAAATGTCCCTGCTATGGGACTAATAAAGGATTTCTGATTCTGATATTATAAATTGCTCACTTTTGTTCCTTCCAGGAAGTACTGGAGTCTCCAGGTTACTCTCCTCTATCTGACCATCATAAAGGTCTCAGCCAAGGTAAGGACTCTTTCAAGGACTCCAAGAGTTTTAGTTGGTTAAAATGTGGACTTTTGATGTGTGACAGTGGTGTGAAACTTCTGCTTTCTTGGGCTTCAGTGAGATTGTTAGAGAAGGACCAATATTGCATTCTATTTCTATAGGGGAAAAACCTAAAGAGAAAACACAAACAGGTGGTTTTGGTTTCTTGCCAACTTACTGCTTTAAACTGCACATTATTTTATGGTTTTCGGCATTTAATAGTGACAAAAGCCCCCCAATAGGCCATCAGATCAGGTGCCTTGTAAAGGAAGGGGAGTGAGGGGGCGTGACTGGGTGGGTGGGGTCTCACACACAATACCACCTCTCAGCTGAGAAATCTGCCTGCCGATCGTACACCTCAAAACAACATGCTGGAGACGCAGAGCGGATAGAGCAGATCACTAAAAGACAGCGTTATTGGGAGGAATGGACATGTTGAGAATACAGAGGGCACAATCAGAATCATTTGGTCGTGGAGAAATAAAGGAATAACTAGTGAGGAATTATCAGATTTTCTAAGAGTGATCTGGAAATGGGAACAGAGTGGACAAACAGGATAACAAACAGGTAACGTTGTTTTCTCTGATTAGTTTTAATGTGTTGTAACATACAGAACTGGGGAACTGTTTAAAATAACCCATATAGTTAATGACATTTCTACAAGACATCTCTGTAAAACAAGCGATAACAGTATTTTTCTAAGAATGTTGTATCAGAGATTAATTGTCACAACAATTGTGTCTTTTTTTATTTTTACAATTTTAATACATATAAGCCTTTTATATTTGATAAATGTAATCTTTGCTATTGTTTTTTTGTTATGTCTTACACCCCTTTAAATGCCCCATGAATGGAACTAGTTTTTTTAATTAGAATCCTTTTCAGGCCAGAAATATGAAATGTCAGTATGTAACTGAGTTTTAAATCTATGCGTGACCAGAGAGTATACAATGGATTTAGGATTGGGTGTAACAGTTGTGTGTGTGTGTGTGTGTTAAGATGTGTTGTGTGTTGTGTGTGTGTGTGTGTGTGTGTGTGTGTGTGTGTGGTGGTGTGTGTGTGTGTGTGTGTGTGTGTGTGTGTGTGTGTGTGTGTGTGTGTGTGTGTGTGTGTGTGTGTGTGTGTGTGTGTGGTGTGTGTGTGTGTGTGTGTGTGTGTGTGTGTGTGTGGTGTGTGTGTGTTGAGCAGATAAGGGAATCCCCCTCTGTTTCCAAAACGCCATGGAAACGCTGAGCGACATCAGGCAAGCCTACCAGGATGCAGGGAGAAGAAGCAGGTGGGCACGGTGAAATCACACACACACACACACACACCTCCCAATGAGTGTGTATTTTCTGTAAAGATGTGCTAATTAAAGGTCTGATAGTGTTGACAGTGCAGACACAAGTGAACACACCAACATCTGTTTATACGTGAGCCACAAACATTTGTGTACCCACAAACATCTTATGCGCATACGGTTAACTCCCCCAACACACAGTCTCTTGTATAAACAGCACCCTCACCCTGGGCTAGTCAGCAACAGCCTCTTACTCAACACCAACCGAGGAAAACTTTCCTCTCCAGTTACACCCCTGTCCTGTATGCAGGCACCTGTCCCTGTGTCCAGAGGACAACCTGTTCTACCCAAACAGCTTAGCAATACAGGGACAGGGGGAGAGAGGGTTCTGGTGAATCAGCTCATTGTCTGTTACTCACCACTATATCAAGTCCAAGCTCTCTGAGGAGAATAGGCCTACAGGTCTTTGAGCAGGTCTCTAATTTCACAGCATCAGCTTCCAGATGGGAGGAAAATGAGGCTATTGGTATTATGTTCAGTTCAGCACAAGGCAATACAACTCATCATCAGAGCCAAAATAACTCCCCTCATTGGCCTGTACATACACTCTTTCTGTCAAAGGCTTGATAACAGAAAACCTTACTGTGTTGTTTCCTTTTCCGCTCACCAGAGGAGGTATGTCTTTGCCTCACCTTGGGGACAACGGCAGACGCTGGAGCCATCTGGTTCCTTCTCCCTCACCTGGTTTGCTGAGTACCAGGACCTCCTGTCTGCCAGTACCTCCTAAACATAGGTACATACAGTAGCTGGACTCATTATTAAGCAAATAATCAATTGTAGATAGCCAGTTTGTTTAAATAACAAATAAACAAAGTAAGAAATACGGTCATAATAAATCTCTGAACGGAAAAGACCGAAATATTTAACACATTTCGAGAAATCGTAAAAGACAATGCATATAAATGCTTCTTTGCATCCACTACATTTATGAAATTATAAGAAGTTGGTTCATCAAGATAAACAGATGACAGTCCTCTAGTTAATGTAGTATAGAATTGCCAGAGAAGAAGACAAGATAGCGTCATTAAAATAGCTTCAGTCGTACCTCAAAGGGTTAAAAACAATACAAAGAGTTGATGGAAATGCTTGTCATTCCTGTTTGCTTATAAGTAAAGTTACATCAGATCTTTATGGACTGATTAGGAGACAGTTTGAATCCGCCAATAGTATTTGTATATTGTTTTTTATTTGTAAATAAAAACAAAAAAAACACAGGTGGATGGAAATGCACCTTCAGTCTAAGTTGCTGTTTCTTTTTTTTCTTTTTTGTGTGTATATAAGTGGCACTTAAATAAAATCTACAAAAAGTTTGATTTGGACTTTTCACTCACAGAAAGAGAACAACAAGTGTGGTGGCTGCACCCCCATCGTCCCCCAGCTTGCTGTCTGTGACAGAGCCCAGCCCGCTCAGCCAATCAGCACCCAGTATCCTGGAACCACTGCTCTGTTCCAACAGTATGATGCAGGCCAGAGCACACATCCAGAGCCGTATGTGAATGTAGTTATTTAAGCTTTGACTGATTTAATCTTTTAAGAATTACAAAGCAATACTAGTTTAAAATTAGATGTTAATTCATTTGGATTATTCCTATGTTAAAATATATCCAAAAGGAAACATTGTTATATGTTGTAAATGTTATAATTAAACTTGGTGGTAGGTTTAGGATATTGTTTTTGGTTTAACTTTTGGATTAAAGGTAAATGTTGATGTTATACAATCACTGGCTATAGAATGATGACACCATCTGCATTTAGATTAGCCCCCTATAAACCTCAGTTTCAATCCAATTCTAATTGGTCTCATGGGAAAATGATGGCTCAATTTACGCCAGAAAGGAAGTTAGCAACCCTTATACTACTCCATTCTAAATATATGTTTTCTTCCTGTCTGCAGGACTGGGTTCTCAAGAAACTGAAAATGAACAAAAGGTGAGTAACAACCAAAAGCCTCCTTATATCTTGTCATACTTACATTCAATTGGTCGTCTCACAAGTCCTTACTGTCAATGTCCCTTCTTGCAGGGTCCCTTACTGTCTCTGCATCCCAGAACCCCCAAGCTGTTGGCCCCACTGGACAGCAGGCCCCGGGATATTGCTGCCCTGCCAGCACTTAAACTCCACGTTCCCCTGAAGCCCATAAGCCAGAGCCCCCTTTGCTCCAGGACCCGGCTGAGGAGAGAACGGTTGTTCTGGGGAAGCCCACTGACTACTAAGGGAGGAAGTGAGGAAAGCGGGTCCGGCAGCAGCCAGAGTTCCATCGACCTGGAGGACGAGGAAGATACAAAGGATATACTAAAGCGAGTTTCGGGAGAAAAACCTCTGAAGTTTGTTGGAGAAAGATTGTTGCGGCAATCCAACAGCATGAGCGCCACCGAGGCTGATTTGGTTTGGGATAAAGGGCAGTATTTTAAAGTTCAGTCAAGAATCAGTCATATTCCACTGATCCACAGATCAGTACATGACCTGGACGGAGACCCTATCAGTGATCTTGACAATGCTGAACCAGCTATAAACCCTCACTCTGAAGGCAAAGCCACCAGAAGGATTTTTACAAAGGAGACTGATGAGAGTCAGTCCTTTATGAACTATGCACAAAAAGGAGACATTGTGGACATTGAAATACCTATCAAATCAAAGTCTAAGGAGGAACATGACTATGTGGGTTGCACCCCAGAGCCTGGTGAGCTGAGATTATTTGTTATCAAGGATGACAATAGGGATGTTATTGCATACCGTGAAGGAACTTCCAAAAATGACCCACAACAAGTTAAACGGACAGAACGGAGAATGAAGGATTCCTGTGATGAAATAAACGGCGTAGGTAGCCCAATCATTTGTAGCAAGGATTTGACGTTAACTGCTAGCACTACCGAGGAGAAAATACAATTATTTACTTCAGCTGTAAAACTTCCTCAGTCAGACATGGATCCCAAGAAAGATGAGAAGATGTTTAAAGCCTTAAAGCCTGTCCGAAACAAGGACAGAAGAAGTAGCACAAACAGTGAAATGAGAGAAAACATTCAAACGAACCAGCAGTCCTTCAACATGGTAGCGCGCAAAGAGCGAAGCATCCTCAATCGGAATAAGTCCACAAGTAATCTGAAGAACTCCTCACTTTCCGCACAAGGTAAAGATAAAACAAGGAAAAGCCCAGAGCTAATTATTGGCGGAGAGACTGTCATAAAAGGGAAGTCAAAGCTTAAAGTTGCATGTTCTAACAATGGCACCATATCAACTAGGAAGAAGCTTAATGATCAGAGCAAAAGACCAAATCCTGAGAAGATGAACAGCAACAGAATTCCACCAGTTAGGGAGGTGAAGACCATCTGGCAGTTAAAGAGACCCAGTCTAGCAGGCAAACCAAGGTCTAAATCTGCCGTGGACTTCATCACCTACAAAGACATGTTTAAGCAGATCCATAGTGGGGATGAAGGACCAGCCATCTACGAGATGTTTGCTGGTCCCGTCTATGATAACCTTCGAGTTTCTAGCTCCTGTGAGAAAGTCAAGGACAGACAAGTGCAGTCTGCTCCATCCAAGAGGACGCCACAGTGGCATAAAGTCAAACACAGAACATCGAAACAGGCACAGAGGAGAAGTCCGGGGGAGAGCATGGTTATTTCAGCTAAAGGCAAACCAAAACATGCATCCTCTAGGGTGAAACATCTCCACACACCTGTGCCAAGAAAAGTTATTCCGAAAAATAAGAATATGCCTGTATCAGAAGGACTCAAAGAAGCTGAACTATCTAAGGATGATGACATTTTCCGTGGTAGTGCTCAAGAAACCATTTTGTCTACGATCGAGGAAGCTCTTTCTAGACATGGGTCTGAAATAGTCAAATCTGATGAGAACACATTGACCAAGCCAAGAGCTTTATCTCATTATACTCACCCCCACATGAACATGCAAGAAATAGAAAACCCAAACCGACCAGTTTCTGAGCCTGTGTTATCTCAAAGCCCCCAACAGGCAAAGATCCAAACCTGGGCTTCTTCCAGCAGTGGTGACCACACCATTGTGTCACCAGTTTATAAGAAGTTTCTGGATGAGGTGGGGGACGGGCCACTTACAGATGACCTGCTGCAATGTCTGGCTGAGGAGCTGATCTCATTGGACGAGAGAGATGAATACACAGAACCTGAGAGCCTGGAATCGGATGGAGAAATCAATTCTGTATCAGTAAGAAAAACATAAAAGATAGATTATCAAGTTCATGAGTAACCTTCTCATAAATTAAATATTCATTATCTGTTTTTAATTGCAGGTAAATACCCCAGACAGTGGTGCTCTGCTTGGCTCTGTGTTGGTTGTAGATGACGCGATCACATGGACAAAAGGGGAAGTACTCGGCAGGGGAGCCTATGGGACAGTAAGTATGGACTAACACAGTTAGGCTATACAATAATGACACAGTACAACACCACCCTAAGATATTAACTATTCACACAACCATGCAATCTATATCAATAGTTGAAAAATACTCAAAGCAGTATAGGTCCCACTGCAGACATTGATGCTCCAGTAACCCTGCCGACCACTGCTTCTTCTTCCCAGGTGTACTGCGGCCTGACCAGCCAGGGCCAGTTGATAGCTGTGAAGCAGGTGAGCCTTGATTCCTCTGACCCAGATGCTGCCAAGACAGAGTACATTCGTCTGCAGGGGGAGGTGGAGCTGCTTAAAACTCTAAGACACACCAACATTGTGGGTTTCCTGGGTACCTCACTCCAACAGCATGTGGTTTCCATATTTATGGAATACATCCCAGGAGGATCCATCGCCAGCATCCTTCACAGGTTAGTTATTCACAAGTCACAACCACCTACAATTTACCCAGGAATGTGTTGCAAGAATAATTTGGGAATATTTCCCCCAAAAATGTACATTAAATTACTAACCCTGTATATCCATTGATATTTGAGGAAAGCTTTTGTGTTACTCCCATGCCACCATGGTTTACTAAGAATCTTGGTGTACAACAAATTGGTGTATTTAAGAAATAGCGGCAAAACAGTAAAGGTTCAGTAAAATGTCATATTTGGAACGAAGTGAGCACAACTGTATAAATGAGACTATACTGAACGGGTTGTGTGACTGGACGGAAGTTTAGTTATGTTTAAGTTTTAGTTTAAGTATAGTTTTGTGTTGTTGGATGCGCGCCCATATACTGGAATTCATCAATAATTGTTCAGTTTTTGGATTCTTTGTTTACCATTGAGGCATACAAGAACAGTTTTCTTCAAGAACTCAACACACGTTAAGTAATTGATATACCATTGATCATTTTGGGGTGATGTATCCCTTAGAAACATCAAAATCAGAGAATTCAAGAATGGTCTGTTACTAACCTTCAACACCACTTGCTGTCTTCAGGTTTGGTCCTCTGCCAGAGCGTGTCCTGGCCTTGTACACACATCAGATTCTGGAAGGGGTGGCCTACCTTCACCTGAACAGGGTGATTCATCGTGACTTGAAGGGAAACAACATCATGCTGATGCCCACTGGCGTCATCAAGCTCATCGACTTTGGCTGTGCGCGTCGTCTCAGCTGCCTGAACCACACCGCTAGCAACAGTGGAGATCTGCTGAAGTCTGTCCATGGCACACCTTACTGGATGGCACCAGAGGTAGATTCAGAGATCATTTGGGAGGTCTTCTAATATGTAAAGATGGTGTTATTTTTTTCGACTGCTTTTCTTGGCAAGACGAGCATAGCATTCAAGTGCTAAAATCTGCACCAGTTAGGCTACCACTACCCGGATTTGGCCAGGTCCTATGCCCTAACTAACCAATGGGCTTTTCTGGGTCATTGCCTTGTATGCAGAGCTACTCTGGCCATAACAAACTATCAGATTTATAATCATGCTTGGAAATGCTTTCTTTCTTTTTTTTTCAAAGTTCAAATTACTTTATTTTCAGCAAATATCAAATTGCCTTTTTAATCTTTCCACTCCTTAGGTTATCAATGAGACAGGATATGGCAGAAAGTCTGATATATGGAGTGTGGGTTGCACAGTGTTTGAGATGGCCACAGGAAAACCACCACTGGCTCATATGGACAAGATGGCTGCCTTGTTCTACATAGGGGCTAAAAGAGGGGTGATGCCCTCCTTACCAGATGGGTTTTCGGATAACGCAAAGGATTTTGTACAAATCAGCTTGACAAGGTGAGAGCTTTTGTCATCCCTGGTCTGTGTGAACGGTTACTGTCATACACCTATACGTACTATTTCAATCTATAATATTAAACGTACAGTGCTTATAAAGAGTTTTGAACTAATAGAGTTTAAAACCTAAGCCTAATTTTCTACTTTGAGCCATTTATTGGAATCATTTTGGTTATCTTGATTTGTTTTCTCTCAACAGCGACCAGAGACTACGGCCATCTGCAGACCAGCTGCTGAAGCATTCATTCATCCCCCAAAATAAGTTTGGGGCGAACTCCTGGGAGAAGCAGAAAAAAAGCTGCTGTGGTCACCCAGAGGGTCTGTGCGGCTAACAAGTTACATCTCCAAGAGAATGTTTAGTTCAAGGACACATTTTGATGATTTCATTTGAATTGATGAATCAAATTATTATTAAGCATTATTTTGCGTCCCTTAGAGGGCTAGACACCAACCCCATTGATGCACTAGTAGTATGTTTGAGCATTGGACTTATGGTATTGTATTCTTAAAATGTTAAGAAACATGAGAAGCACTTTGAACCATTTCACTTTTGCCAAATAGAACATATAAAATGTGAACAGAAAGATGCCATGTTTTTTTTACCGATTTTGTAGATTTTCTATAGAAATCTCATGTGTGCCAATCTTATAAATGCCTTAATTTAAAATGTATACAATGCAACTCTCAGCTGCCTGTCACACACTAATCTATATTGCTGCATCATTTTCAAAAGATAGTTCTGAGTTATTGAGGAATCAATGTGTAGAGTTTGCTAATGCATCAACTAACCCACATTAACTTATTGCTAGAACAACGTGAATCAAACATGTTTATTTTCTTCGCAACCGTAGTAACATTGTTATATGCAAAATAAAACGACAACAACCAGGGTTTATACTGTGTCAGGGTAATGGCAACTTTGAAGTTTATTCATAATATTGAAATGAAAATGAGAAAAAAGGACGAGGGGGGTTATGCTTATTTGTCCTCAACTGCTTTGCTGTGTGCCCTAAATCCCTAACGACCAATCCAGCCTTGAGTACTTTGCACAAAGAGACCAAGTGAAAAATAGAAGGGGTCAAGATTTGAGAACATTGCAGAATTTAATGTATGAAACTGAAGACATGTTCGGACAGGCGCATGGCTGTAAATGTCAATTTAACCAATTGGATGAAGACAAAACCTAGTGTTAACATTGCAGATGCCAAAATATCCAGCAGTTATTGGTTGCATATGGCCAATTGGTCCCGGTTTGATTGTTTTTTTGATTGAATCATACTTATATGCATCCCATTTAAGGGCTGACATCTAAAGGCTACAGCTTCACATCATGAAATTATGTGATACACTTCAAAGTAAAAAGGGTTATGTAAACTTAAATAGCACACTACTACTGTCTTTGTCAGTTGTTTGTCTTTTTGAGGCACAACCTTTGGCATCCAGCTTAAAGGTCTACTTATAGGTAAAGAAAAAAAAATGTTTTTGGTAGAAATTGCATCACTGATGTTATAAGTAGGTGTTGGATGTGCCTGTGTCACTGAGGGCATCGACTGATATTCCCTGTGATGAAAAGCACAGTACAGATCCCCCTTCAGGAAGGTGTAAGAAGCACACGCCACTGGGATGCTGCAATCATTCACCAGATGACACCCAATCCGTTGATCAACAAAATAAAAGTATTTTTATAGGTATTATAGTTATCTTGTTATACTTACAAGCAGCTCCAAACCTGAGTAGTCATATTTTTTTCTTTAAACATACAAAAACGTATGTACATTTATCTCCACTTTCTGTAAACAGCAAGTACGTATTCTCCTTTTAAATCCCTTTGATGATTGAAACATGCAAATCATACGCACAGTACTAAAGTATAAAAAATAAATCAAGACAAGAAAGAGATTGAGGAGATGAAAATTCACACTTAAAAAATAAAAGTTGCATCCATCAACAGCATGAATTGGAAGGCCAGCCAACATAACTTGAACTCCTCTCCAGCTGGTCACTGCCTTCTTACATACAACCGCAGAAATGGGATTCAATTAAATGAATCATTAAAAAAAGGAAGAAAGAGCACCTTAAGTGCCTCTTATAGTACTTTTTCCCATACTGAGATCTGAAATGCAGGGAAGTACTTTCCCCTCGATGAAAACGCACACATTCACCCAACTTTGCACATTCCGAGACTCATTTGAGGAAGGAGAACCAAGCAGCAATTCAACACTAACAGAAAGAAAGGACTGAGCATTAGGGCTCAGAGATCTGACGGTCAGGAAGCATAATTTTTTTCATTTTTCTTGTCTTAGAAATTGAGAGGTCCAACAATACTTATCTTTTTTTTTTTTGTTGCAGATACGCGTTTCTGCCATTCAGTAAAGGGTTTATCATGACATAAAGAGTTATTTTTCACAGGGCACTTAACAGGGAGCATAGTCTTCATAGTCTGAGCTGTGGGTAGTTTGGGCCATGGCTGCAGAGAGGGGTCTCTCAGTGTCTCTGCTCTCCCACTTCATGTGGCGATTCACTAGGAGGAGGAGGAGGAGGGTACTGCTGAGAGGTCCGCAGCCCACCTGGGTGTGACAGGAAGGGAGGAGGAGGAGAAACAAGAATAAGGATAAGGGAGGGGGGAGGTTAGCCATAGAGCTGCAAGCCAGACGAGACACACTGCAGTACAGGAGAGGAGCAAGGAGGAGAAATGGGGAAAGAAAAATATGTAGTACCTGCAGCAACTGTGCCACCCTTGGAGTTTTTGCTCACTTTGGAGCCTGAGGTGGAGAATGAGGAGAGAGGGTGGTGGTTGTGGCCGGCCTCGGGGTACGCCCTCTTGCGCGATGAGGAAGACAGGGATCCTGGAGGAGCGAGTATGGGCCCTTCCATGCCCGGCAGCCCTCGTAGCGGGCCTCCCCCGCCGTTCCCGCTGTGTGTGTGAGGATGACTGTGCTTGTGGTGGCGATGGAGGTGATCTGCTACACGGTGCTGTTTCTCCTTAATCACCAGAGGGCTGGAATGTTTGCTCTTGTTGTTGTTGTTGGCCGCCATGCCTTCGTCCGATGAGCTGTGGCGCTCCGATGAGACTTTTATCTTCATCTTGAGCTCGTCTTTGCTTGGCAGTCCGCCTTTGTCCAGCTGGTAGCCCCCGCCAGACCCGGGGACAGCCAGGCGGAGCTTGAGTGAGCCTTTGTCCCGCTTGTCACTATGATGACGTCTTTCTTGCCCTGAAGTTGAGGAGGGGGCTTTAATTTTCATCGGGGAGGCAGTGGTGCCTCCACCAACACCGTGGGATGTTTGGTGGGGCTGTGAATGTTTTCTATGGTCTACTTGGCTCGTGGGTGCATAGGTAGAAGAGGAGGAAGATAATATGTCCCCCCTCCCGTCACAATCCATTATTCCTCCATGCTGTTCCTGGCTGCGTTTATGCCCGGAGACAGTCTGCTCTGCTGCTTGTTTCTCTCTGTATCTGTCCAGAGACAGCTTCTGAGCTGGAGACGGTTGTGGTGGAGGAGGCTGGCCTCCTTTTTGTTCCTGTTTGACAGGTATGAAGTCCAGTGTTTTATCAGTCCTGTATACCGGCGCATTAAGAAGCAGGGAGGGCTCTTGCAGAGGGATGCTGAGGGGTTCCTGTTTTATACTGGAGGTAGCATACCCTGCTTGGCTCTGGTTACCCAGGGGCCACTCGCTGTGGCTGGCTGGGTTGTACGAGCCAGCCAAGGATTCCAGAGACAGGGGTCCATCCCCGGAGGGGCCAGACATGAAGGCAGCGCCCGCCTTGGAAAAACTTGGGTTGCAGGAGCCACCAGGGAGTGATGCATCATCTTGGAGCATGGAAGGCCCGGCAAAGGAGTTGTCATTCAACGATGTGCCGTCACCCTTTGGCTTTTTGGCAGCTTGTGTTGCCTAGGGGACAGAAAGAGATTTGTGATGCTGTTGAGCATTTGGTTTCCCCAACAATAAGCTCTCAAAATGGGATTTAACAGTGGGACAAACATTTGTATGTAATGCTTTGCTACTACCTAGTATTGCAGCATTGCAAGACTTTTGAACTATTTCATAACTGAGTATGGTGCTGTCAGCTAGTTGGCCACGATCTTTGACAGGCCGATCAGTTTCATATTTCCCTTTTTTTTTTTATTACTAAATATAGAAAGATCATATGGAATCAACAAAAAAATCGGAATCTACAGTTCCGACTTGTCAGAAATCACAAACAGCCGAGAAAATGACCATAATTGCATGTTAACCTTGAAATGCAGGAAATCGAGCAGCAATGTCTCTTACCCTCCAGTTGCGAATCCTCTTTAACCGGCTGGGCGTCTTCTCCAGAATCTGCAGAAACTCGTGGGTCAACTCTGAAAGTAAAGACATGCATGTCGTCATTAAATCACCACAAATTCTGCTGATACAACGCAACTTCCCCATCTCTCATTTTAACCATTGGAAAATATGCGAGTACTATGACCTTCACCCTAGATATAAGAGGGCAGATATAAGAACTTGGTGCAGGGTAAATGTATCCACAGTAATGCATTATGGTAAAGCAAAACATTAATTCAATCTCACCATCGAGCAGCTCGAGGGTGACCGAGTTGTCCACGTACTCCCACCAGTGTTTCCCATCAGTGGAAACTGGGATCTCCCAGTTTGACCACTTACAGGCCAGGTGGATGCACACACAGGAGATCACTGTGGGTTTGTACTGGAGGCAGAACGTAGTGAGGTGTAGACTGCATAATGTGTGAGGGTATGCGCAAGTGATGAGAGGGGGGGGGGGGTGTGTGTGTGTGTGTGTGTTCATGAAAGAAATGTGAGGGTGTGGAATGTGGAGTGAGTTCAGGTCAGGCGATATCCCGAATGGTCCCGCATATGTAGAAAAGAGAAAAGAAAAAACAAGAGGGAGCGGACCGTTTTAATTTACTGTAGGCATTGCTTGCAAATGATAAGCTTTTATTGGCTCAAGATCATACAATGTAAGATGTAATTTAACAGTTTATCGTGTCAAACAGAGATCAAAATTAAGGCTGCACGATTTGGACAATATAGCTTATTGCGATTATTTGTACTGATATTGCAAATGGGATATGATTTGTGAAATGTTTAAACATTATTCACATTATAATTGAGTAGTATAACATGATCTGTTGTGAATTCTCGCGAGAACTGCAATACACAATTCAAAACGAAATGTTTTCACATATTTTATTACCAAATATAGTGCTTTATTTCTATATTAAGCTAGTCCTTATTGCGATTTAAAAAAATTGTGCAGCCCTAGTCACAATACAGATGAAATTTCCCCTAATTTTATAATTCATGCAGGCACATCATACATTGTGTCATGTGTCAATTTATGCTTCAAAGAACCTGGCTTGGTTAAATGTTAGGACATAAAAACAGAAGTGGAATGGGGCCACGTGTAGTGGCTGAGTGCAGCCCTATTGTGAAACACTGAAACCAGAGGCCACCCATGTGACGGTTACATCATTTTACTGTTAACTGGCGAGGGGCTGCTCCTACAACCCTCTCTGTATGGCTCTGTGTTGAAAGGGATAAACCTAGTGGGCCCTCCAGATCAATAGATACAACGCGGCACCAATACTGACACTGTTAGGGCTAAACTGAAGCGCAGGCATGGTTTCAACACTGAACCTTCTTGATTAGAAGTTAGAGATAATCCTAATCTAACTATGACTCAAAGGGAATGGAGCCATCATTTATAAAGTGTAACTTTATGTTGCAAGCGTGAAGGGAATGCACAAATGAGTCCTAAAACCACAAATGAGTCAGCATTTTAGCAATTTCAGTTCTTGAAGTCATTTGATATGTCAGTAAATACACCACACGTGAATTCCTGGAGCTTTTACGCGTCTTAAAACCAGTGATTGCTAAGAAAGTGGCTAAATAAAACTACTAGATGTCACGCCGAGACAAATCCACCTTCTTTTTTTTAGCAGTGGTGACGTGAACTGCGACCGTGTTGTCGTTTGTTTATTGCTTCATGTTAGTTATTTGCTTCTGGCGATAAGATTAACAATTCAATATGTGGAAATTATCCTGCTAAACAAAACGTGGCAAAAACATGTTTATTTTCCGCAAAATTCCTTAATCCAATGGTAAATCTCAATGCTTTTTTCGATAGAGCCTTTGCGATGCTAACATCCGGGTTGGGCTACGGCCTAAAAAAAATGTCATCACCGTACCACTTTTAGAACTTTTGATCACAATTGACTCGTTAAACAAAGTCATAACACATCAAAAGGAACAAATAAATAAAGACAAATGACTCTTGTATAATAAAGCCAACATTTCAACAATCTAAGTCTTGAAAGCTAAACAATTATTTTAAGGATGAAAGTTCCTCACAATCAAGAGAGCTAAATGGTAACCTTGCCTGTAAGACAACAATGTCTGGAGTCTGGGCTGTCAGATTACAGCGGCGTTTTTAGAACAAAGCTAACAGTCACGGCAGACATTACAAAGAAAAGTTTAAACTCAAATCAGTTTAGACATCTTAAATCTTTCACAACAAAAGTGATGATTCTTCTTGACTCAATTCCAAAAAATGTATGTATTAACTTTTTGTAAATTGCACTCATAAGTAAGTACTAGCTTGGTGTAAAATTGCAAACATGATTCAGTCAGCTTCCAGACATTGTCAATTGATTTCAAGACATTACGAGTTAATTACATTAATGCAAAATTACTTTTCACAACTGTAAAATATAAACAAACCCGTTAAGGACCCAGTTTGAATACAAAAATACATTTTGATAATCAAAAAATTGACTTTGATCAGTCTGAGAGATGAACAATTGACATGCCAGCCATTAAATATTGTCTAGGTCCTTAATGGGTTGTGGTAATATTTTTGTCACATGTTTTACATGAGCTTTATGTATTTTGAAAATCTGGGGAAAGTATGTGCAATATGAAAAAAATTGCAGGATAATGCATTTTTTACAAATGGATATGAAAAATAACATTTTAAGAATTAATTTGTGGTACTTACCGGGTGGACCTCTACGAGAAATGTTTACATCTCTGAAATCTTTAGCTGCTATTCAGGCTACCAAAGTGTCTTTCTCTTAGAATTATGCACTTTTTCGCAACCGAACAAACATGTGGGTTTCAAGTGCACCACTACACTTCACACCTTGCATTCAACCCATCTGTGCCAACACGTGGTCCCTTGTACAATACACCGCACTGCGACTGGGGCCGGTAACGCTACGAGCCACCCTGTCCCGCTCCCTGTGAACGAGGGAGGGGAGCCGAGGGGAGGAGGCAAGCATCCCAACAACCACCAGCGCTATTAGGGCCCGTTGGACACTGAAAGGGTACCCTGCATTACAGGAAGCTATGGTGTGCAGTCAAAGTGCAACAAAGGAGGGGCAGGATAACAACCTGTTGGTAGCCATGAAATAGGAAGTCTGTGCCAGATCCTTGCTTGCTGTAAGAGAGGGAAAGAAAAATAGGAAAACAGGGGAGGGGAAAATAAAAGGATTAATATGTCTGCAAGACGGAGCATGACATTAACATTGGGTCAGGAACTGAATGTTTCAAAGCACCGATTAAGACAAGGCCAAGACTGAAAACAATACTACCAACACACAACTGCTACAATAAAGAAGCAACTGGAAGATGTTAAGCCAAAGGACTTTGTTGACCTTGTCCAACATAACCAATATTTACAGGAGATAGTTCCTCGGACACAGAATGAAATGGCAAAACAAGAAATAAAGAATTTCAGTCTTGGCCCAATAAGTGCATGTCAATGTTGTCGTCTATGTGCTGTGTCATATTCAAATGTCGTGAAAAGAGCAAGGTGTGTGTGGTCATGTAACCATTAAATCAGCAAGGGTTTCAATCCCCCTCCCCACCCACATTTGAGGTGGGACAAAAAAAGAGCAGAGGGCACAAAGAGCAAAGAAGGAAGCCTCTACCTCGCACTAGCTGGGAACATTTCACCACATCAGTGTGTGGGTGATCAATAGTAATTTCAAAGCCTGGAACAAAATACATGACAGGTGAGTTCAACACAGAGACAGTTGGGAGGTGACATGTCATTTTATGATTTAACAAACACACCTAGGGATCCATTTAGGAGTATCAATTTAGATTTGGATAGATATCTTTATGTTCAATATGAATAGTGAAACTTGATGCTCATATATAGATTTGAAAAATAGATGCCATGAGCTCTAGCAGCGTTGACTCTGGCACCCACATGTATAGGTATTGAAGGTAATGGAGATATGAATACAAATCATGTGCAAAATTGCAAAAATACTAAAGTGGCAAAGATAAAATGACATGTCACCTTTACATGATTTCTTGAAAATATGTATATGACAAGATACCCATACAGCAGCTGATAAAACATTTCACTCAACAGGCTGCGATGAATAAATTCAACAGTGATCAATAGCACTACTCCCTTATTGATAAGCCAAAGATAATGATTATGATAAAACAAAACGCTATCTCTCTCTCAAGTCATCCACTCCAGTCACCACTACTTACCCAGGGTCTGCAGCACTATGGATTCAAGTATCACCAGCTCTTGAGCTTGCTGGAGGTATGCCTAAAGTTTGATAGACAGTCATTACAACACAATTGTAATGAGTCTATTAATCTATCCCACTAACTAATTTCAAATGGCCAAAAACTCAGAGGCACATTTTACTTTTAATGTAGGCCTTGTAAGGTGTATGGTACACACCAACAGCCGGCCAGGGCATTCAAGTTAAGGCTCTCAGTAGAGGGCAAGGGACTTTGGTACAGCCAGTATCACATAAGGAAACCATGACCACTGTGAGAACTGGGAAGTCACATGTAGAAAAAGGGAAAAATACTTTCAACCATACAATGTGAGATCACCCTGAACTTACATTACTCTTTGTGTCTAGAGGCGATTCTTGGGGATTGAGGCAAGCATGTGCCACTTTGATCACATGTTCGAGTTTCCGAGGTTGCTCTTCCACTTTTGCGGCCAAGAATAAGGTGGTTGGAGAGATTATCTGCACAGAAGCATCAAGATATTTCAATATAATATCCAATACCTCTCTGTGCAATGTATGTAACAATATATCCAACATGTGGTACTAGGTTACAGGTCAATAGCAGTGTTATATAACTTGATACTTACATTCCTGTGGAATTTGGTGAAGGAGTGGTTCATATAAAATCTATGCATGTAAACAATGGCTGTATTTATTGTTAGTTGGGAGCTGGAGAGTTGGTCAAGGGAAATGTTTTAACTTTCACTGGGTTAAAACCATGCTGACAATAACAAAATGAACACTTTACCTATATGCAATTATATCAAGTAAAAACACGTATCATGTGGCAACGTATTATAATTAGACAAATGTTTTAAAAGAGTTAAGGTTAATTAGAGACAAGTAAACAGTTGACCAACCGACACTGTACATCAAGCTAGCTTACTGGCTTAATGATAGCAACTGTGGTACATATAAGTACATAGAGAAGGCAAATTAGCCTACTTCAAACTTAAACTTGCGTCATAAAATAACACATGCCATTATTTAATTAACAGCGATCGACCGGACCGAATAATAAATGCATTCAGTGGACCAGGAGCTAGCAACAGCTGCAAACTCGCCTAATGGCCTTTAGACGTCAAACCACAGCTAGCTAGGTAGCCTGCTATATTAGCGCATAGCTAACATTACACATAAACACATGGGATCGAGATTCCAGGTTTACAAAATAAAACATAAGTAAAAAAAAGCACAGAACACACACGTTGACAAGTTACAAACGTTGCTCCATTTACTCAGCAGTCAGTTTTAAATTAGCTAATGCTATTTGGGCCCGCTGAAACTGTTAGCGCCATGTCTGATACCTCCAGTCCAGAAAACGTTGTTTACAAAGGATACACATTGAGTCTCTGACCCATATCTTGGATCAGATTTGCCGCTTGTTGTCGGTAGGAGAGCTCTCGGTCTGGTTCGACTCCACATCGACGGGACGGCGTTGTTTCGAGCTGTTCCCGGGTAAAAAACCATTTCGACGAGGATCCCCGGCACGCCGCCATTACTCTCCAACATTGGGCATCGAGAAAGCGGATGTGACGTTGGTGTCGCACAGGAAAACACGACTTATTCGATGGTGAGCCGTGCACATTTGAAAATATTCTGATGCTGTTTGTTTTCTTTTATTAAATGATTGTTCATCTACTGATTTAAAACTGTTACACAATACGGGTATGGTGATGCCAATTAATTTCATAGTATTGAACATGGGTGACCCAATAACCTCCATAATAAATTATTAACTAAGTCCACAGTCCACAAAACGTATAGGCCTGATTCAGAATATGATAACCTATGCTAATTTAAGAGATTCAATTCATATGCATATATCTAATAAGTGGGCCAAAAGATAGGCATATATTCGAAGTTGAGTCTTTCCCACACAAAGTCAGTTGGTGGAAGTCTGATTTATTTTTCCCTCTGCTGTAAAATCAATTTCGCTTCAGAGAGGAATAATGAGGCAGGTGGACTCAATTTTGTGGTGGTGAAATGGCAAAAAAACATAGAATAAGTACTCTTGGGGCTGAGTTTATATTAGCCAGAGAAAGGGAACGTTTCCTAACTTCCTTTGAAGTTTAGCAAATTAAAGGTGGGGTAGGTATTTTGGAGAAACCAGCTCGAGTGTGCTAGAATTTGAAAATACACAGCTGGAACAAATCTGCCACTTCCTTACAGAGCCCCTCCTAGGGTCCTTCTCACTTCGGTTAAATTGATTCCTTGGCTGCTTCTCAGGTCGATTAAATTAAATCCTTGCTTCCCTCACTTGCGTCGTTTTCCTGCGTTTAGTCCCTCCTACCAGGGAAGCATGGAGGGACGAAAGGAAACCACGAGAAGCAGGGAAATGAGTTTTAAGAGCAATGGGACGTCCTTTCCTCCTGAGCGTCACGTGAAGCGACGTCCGTTTGTGATGACGCTGCACAGCTGTTCGTCTGGCAGCAGCCAGCTCTGTACCCGTTATTTCCACAAACACCCCCGCCTCTTACACATTTACTGACATAAACATTAGTATCATCTGTTGTAGATCCAAATACATGAAATAAAATAAGAAGTCATTCTCAAAAAAGATAAACGCCATTCTTAAAAAGTATTTAAACGAACAATAGTTTGATTAATATTGATTAGAGTGCACAATAGGAATACAATTATTCAGAGAACAAAAACAGATATGTTGATTGATTGATTGATTGATTGATTGATTGATTGATTGAAAAGTGTATTAACAGCTTGTATATTGGGTACAGTACAGTACAGCTCAAAACATACAATTGTTAAGGGGATGCAGACCAGAGAAAGACTTTCGTCTTGTTTACATCAGGGTCCCCCATTTCCAATTCATCATATCATTTAAGACATATTTGACATACAGATGGCTTATTTACAATTTACATACAGGTGGTTTTTTACACATTGCTTATTTACTTATGTTATCTATCAAAACCCAGTTAGATTAACATTCATTGGACTGCACACTTTGTTTGTTTGTGTGGAGCAAATTAACATTTTAAATAGGACTTAATGACTGCGGTTTGGCAGCTGAATTAAAAGCTAAGCAGGTCAGTGCATGCACTGCCTCGTCCAATCAGTGAGCGATACACAGTAAGGGGGCGGGGTGAGTATCTGAGGATTTCATCGGAGGATGGTCTGGTGGTTCCTCGGTTATCGCTCCTCCATGATCGCTCCTCGATCCTCGGTCCTCCGGCAGAAATAAGAGCCATGGGACGGTACTCAAGATGGCGCAGGCAAATCAACTTCCGGTGAGACCGAGGACAGAGGAGCGAGGAAATGAAAATAGTCGACCTGAGAAGCAGCCATTGCGTCCCTCACTTGCATCGTTTCCCTGCGACTAGTCCCTCCCACCAGGGAAGCATGGAGAGACGCAAGGAAACCACGAGAAGCAGGGAAATTAGGCCCATTCCCAAACCGCCCCCTACACCCTACCCCTACACCCTACCACTCCGTTTGCTGGTTCACGCGGAGGGTCCGCCATATTGAGGGCTGTTCCAAAGCAACGAGTGTGGAGGGGGAGTGGGCTATCAAGCCCTCAAACAGCGAGTCTGCAGCGGTGCTGACTTGAGACCGGTCTCTACCTGACCGGAGTCACGCTGTGTGTGTCCGTCAGGAAACACGCTGTTTACAAGTAGTTCCAGCAAACATCCACTGATAAATTGCGATGTTAACAACCTCATGATAACCTCATATGTTTTTAACTTAGGATCATACCTGTGTTTAGTCTAGAAAAAGGTAAATGTGTGCATTTTATTATAAAGTTGTGTATATTTACAGACCGTTGCAAAAACTAAGAAGCTTATAAACATCAGGTTTAAAACTAAAAGAGCTTTGAAACACAATGAAAGATGTTTGGAGTTTTATTTGAGTTATTCATTTAAACTTTTTGTCTAAGAGATGCTTATTTGAAACCGTTGTTACACACAGTTACGGCATTTCCTGTTTCTGCCGGAGAGAGGGGAGGCCGTCCCAAAGCTTGCTGCTATATTTACTCCCTCCATCTGACAGGAGGGAGCCTCGTTGAGCTGCGAGTGTGGCTACAGACGGAGTTCACTCCATCACGGAGGGGTAGGGTCGAGGGAGTGGTTTGGGATTGGGCCTTAGTTTTAAGAGCAATGGGATGTCCTTTCCTCCGAAGCCTCACGTGAAGCGACGTCCGTTTGTGATGACGCTGCACAGCTGATCGTCTGACAGCATGGTTGCGTTCCGATCATCCAAAAATCAGCTCCTAAATTCTAACCCTATCTCCTATTCCTTGACCTCTGAGTGAAACGTCACGAGGTTAAGGGATAGTGGATAGGAGAATTCAAAAGGACTTAGGAGAAGAGACTGAGGTACTTTAGAGAATCCGACTGCACTTTCACTATCCGACGTGTTTATGATGCGCCAGTGGACGTCATGAATGTGCGTCTGCTGCTGTGGGGAAACTATAGTTTTATATACAGCGGACTACAACATGGATGTATAATAAGAAGGAGGGACTACTGTAAACTCATCTAGAGACTCTGCACCGTGCTCTGATGCTGTTGCTTTATGCTTTATGAACGTGGACAACAGAGAAACATATTCTTCATGACCAAAGTTGGAATTGAAATAAAAAAGGAAAGTGAAACTTATGCTCGTGACCCTCTCCCTCCGGTCCACATTAATACAAATGATCCCAATTCGTATGATTGTATGAACTATGAACATATCTTAAAATCAATACAAATGTATTTATTATAAACGTTAGTCCTTAACATCTATCACTGTGTATATCACCATTCAAACACTGAGTAAGTGCATTGAACAAATCAATGACTGGATGTGTCAGAACTTTCTCCAATTAAACAAAGATAAAACTGAGGTAATGGTTTTTGGAGCCAAGTCAGAACGTATAAAAGTTAGCGCTGAGCTTCAGTCTGCAATGTTCAAAACAACAGATAAAGCCAGAAATATAGGTGTAGTCATGGACTCTGACCTGAGTTTCAACAGTCACATTAAAACAGTTACTAAATCAGCCTACTGTCACCTAAAGCATATATCTAGGATTAAAAGACTAATGTCACAGCAGGATTTGGAAAAACTTGTCCATGCTTTTATCTTCAGTAGACTGGACTACTGCAATGGTGTCTTCACAGGTCTCACTAAAAAATCTATTAGAAAGCTGCAGCTGATTCAGAACGCTGCTGCTCGAGTCCTCACTAACACTAAGAAAGTGGATCACATCACTCCTGTCCTGAAGTCTTTACACTGGCTTCCTGTGTGTCAAAGAATAGATTTCAAAATACTGCTGCTGGTTTATAAAGCTTTGAATGGTTTAGGCCCAAAATACATTTCTGACCTCCTGCTAAATTATGAACCATCCAGATCTCTCAGGTCTTCAGGGACTGGTCAGCTTTCTGTCCCCAGAGTCAGAACTAAACATGGTAAATGTCAAGGAGAGACTCTGAGGCATGAACTCAATTGCACGACACAGATAGTGTTCTCAAAAAATAAAGACTTTACTGGAATTTTGCACAGTAATCAAAACAAATATACTCTTTCGAGGAAAACTAGCAAGTGATCAATGAGGTAGATCCGTGGGAAGTCCGTGAGGTAATCAGGAACGTGGGTCATAGTAAGACAACAAACTGACAATGAACAGGAGGAAGCTACCACAATATATACACAGGTAAAGGGGACAC